TGTTCCAGTCCGGCAACCTCGTTCCCAGGGCTTTTCCCTTTTTGAATATTTTGGCGGGCGGGAAAAGGCCCCGGCATAGGCTGATGAGTTCTCGTTTTTGATTGGCTTACGAAATCTGATAATTTATGCTTATTTTCTTGGCGCTAAAATATTCAAAAAGGAAAAAACCCTGGGAACGAGGTTGCCAGTCCGGTTCAACATCTCCGGCAGAGTTAAAGGTGGCTAAATTTTAGGCTTTAGTCACTAATATAACGATTAGCTTAGGTCAAAAATTTACTTTGAAGCGTTAACTTAACTGGCGTTTGGATTAACTGGGTGTCCTTTGCCAAAAAAAGAAAAAAACTGTTAACAAGCTATTAAAAGTGTGACTTTCATAACTTCATCATGTATAGTCGCGATTTAGGTTATGAATGCACTCTCCGGGAAAATTTGCTTAGCTTCTGCGTGATCAAATCGTAAATTGGCTGTGGCATGGGGAGACTCGAAATGGATGATGTCGCTTTGAGTGAAGTGATTGGGTACTAAATCGGATAGCACTGATAAAACTTCTTCACAGTTTCACTCATAAGGATTGTAGGATCCAGAAGCGTATGAAGATTTTTATCTATAGATGTTAAATGACGCTTTTTTTTTGTTTCATAAACAGCCCCCAAAATACCATAATCGATCAGAGCCTGACCTCTCAACTGAATACCTTTGCCAAGGAATTTGTTCCCGCATTGCAGGTCTGGAAAATGTATTTGAAATCTCATTGTTATTATTATCGTTGTAATTATCATTGGTATCATCACCATTATCGTTCTTTGTTTTTGTAGAAGAACACTTTAGAGCAAGAGGATGCACTAGTGAATGAGAGGAGCAAGGAGCCTCGTGCTCGGGCTCGCCGACGAGGAAAGTCAAGTGGCCATTGTCCTCCGCAGATGCTTTGAGTCGAATCACCTGATTGGCTGCCATTCGCACTTAGCCGCAGATGTCTTGTTGTTCCGCCCAACTATCGTTTGGGCAGGAACTCAAGACATTCCTAAATATCACAAAACAAAAAAATTAGAGACAAAAAAAAAATAAGATAAAACTACAAAAATGAGAAAAACTTCCTTTTTTTCGAAAGCTTTTGAAAGCTCAAAAGAAAATAAATTGTAGTGATAATTGTGATATTTGCGGCTAAGTCTTTGATTCCATGGAGGTTTTGGATTTTGTGTATCAGGTAACCACTGATATTTATGTTGCTTTGCATCTGTTCAGCAGTAGAGCACAGACATCACCGAGGACGCAAAATGTAGTTTACAGTAAGAACAAAAAAGTGAAGTGCGAAGCGCAACAACATCAGTTTTTGACGTCTTCTCGTGTAAGATAGGTACGAGCCAGTTCTATACGAATGTTTTTCATTAACAATTAGAAAAGCGCACCCAACACATTACTTAGTTAAGTTATTTAACGAGCCTTTGTGACGTCTTCAACCAATTGAAACACTTGATCGGCCATAAGCCACGACGATTGTCACTACGTGGTAATTTCTTTTGCATGGGTTGGAAATTATGAATCGTTTCAGTTCAAAAGATGACTTAGAAAAATGCATGGTACGGTATCTTTAGTTAAAGTTATCTTGCTTGTCGAACAACACCAGAACAACATGTCAGCATGTCTTAGTGCGTGTGCTAGAAATCAACAATGAATGAGTCAGACTCCCTTGGTATTTTCACACATAACACTCTGAGCCTAAAGCGAGATTAGCGTACTATGAGAACTCAGATGACTGCAATAACTCTGTTGTAGAGGCTCTCAGAACCCCGGCCCATTCTAAAATGATTTTCATTTTTGTATATCAGACCAAACATTGTGAGGAAGCTGACATTTTCTGCTTCTCTTGTTGTTTTTTAAATTTCAACTTGTGGATCCACTTTTTTAGGACTCCTTGTATTTATAGACACTGAGTCCTGAAAAAGAGGATCCACAAGTTAAAACCGTTTCTATAGATCGATTTCACGTGACGTCACACGCTTTAGCCGCCGCCATTTTGGCGCACATATCACTTTGCAAATCGTTTATAAATATATGGAACACGCGCCAATTTTTTTTAAATCGTAAGATCCTAATGGCTTTAAAGGATAATTCTAAAGATTCAACAGCTTCAAAAGTGATTGCAGATCGTTCAACTTCCGTACCCTTGTCGGAGTACGCAAAAAATCTCGATTCTGATGTTTACAAGCGATATTTTGACAAAGTTCTGTGCATTGGAATCGACTCAGGACTGCTGAAGGGAAAAGCCTCCGAGCCGGAATGTCTTCCTCCCGTATAACCCACAGATATACTGTGTTATTTAGTCCTTGAGACAAGCTATTGCACAAAAGAACAGTTCAAGAACTTTCGTAGCCGATGCCAGGCCTTTGTCCAACGCTTCCGTGCCGAGTACTAAGGAAAGCGAGAAGCCGGATAGGCATTCGAAATTCTTTTCAAAACATGCGACTGTAACAATTACGGAGGCATTGATAATATGTTAATTACAGAGAAAAGGTAACCCTGATTCTGGAATGGTGAAGAGTTTGTTTGGTATAAAAGCATTATTTTGCCTACGAATAGTAAAATTTCAAGAGAAAAAACATATGTCGTAGGGACAGCGAGTTTAACAATAAAATGGTTGAATAAAAACCGTTTTAAATATGATTGATGGTCGGGGGACTTTCGTTGAATAGAATATATTTTATTGGTCTCGTTATATGCAATATGTGATCTCTTCTACTTGTGGTTGTAAAATTGAAAAAAAAGAATGTATCTCTGACGTGAAGATCGCGTGATCTTATTACGAATGAATTTCCGTCGGAAAAGGAGTATGAGTTGTTGTATGTTTCATACAACTGATCACTTAAAACGTCTCCTTGAGTTTTATTGGCTGATGGCTGAAAGTGCTTATTTTGATTGGCTACTTAACTGTCCAATTTGGCCTGTCCGATAAGAAGAGTTTGTTCGAGGGAAAAAAAATATGTATAATACGCCGCGCGGATAAGGGACATTATTCTCAGAGCTCCGCACGGCACGTTGAAATCCAAAACATTTTTTTGACTGATTCATTTTGCTTCGCGCGACGAATTTCGTTATAAGGAGAGACGATCGTACGTGGTCTATCTACAAAAGGACGGTGAATCCTAGATATTGAGAATCAATATCAACAACCAGTGAGTGACAACTTTACCGAACCTACAGATGATGACAAGCACGCCTATAGAGCCGTCTTCAAAAACTTCAGTTTTCCTGATGTAGGTTTTGATCACCAGTTTTTTATCCATCATTATGGAATAGGCATGTTCACACAAATGACCTGAATTTGCCTTTTTGTCCAACAGGCTCTTTCCTCCAGCCCACCTTCCCAATCTGTAACGAACGGTATGGTAAACGGGCCACATTATAACAAATAAAAACTATTGACAACTTTAATGCAATAATCAGTCAACCTTTATACACAGGGTCATAATTATTCTAGCACAGAAGTGTGACCTACCACTAATAGTCAAAGTCTAATGATGGTATTCGATACTATGCACGAGCATTCGTTGCAGTTTCCCCTCCTAGGGTTCTGTAGTATTCTGATCCCCTTTATTGGCATTCAATTTTCTATAGTCCCCTCCCCTCCCCCTTTAAACTCTCTTAGCGACGACTGATCCCTCCTAATAATGACTTGTCTCTTGTGTGAAGGTCCGAGAAATAGACTTCCTAAAGGCCTAAAGCAAAAAAAATTGCGGAAATTGCGTATCTAATTCAATATCCTGCAAGTTTTGCCTAAAATGTTGAACGTCGTCTGTAAGCGGCATTACCCGATTACTTTCGCGCTATCATCCAGCCCTCGGCTGCTGGCTGCGATTTTAGACGACTGGGTACAAGCTAGCTCTACGAATGTTTCGCATTAACAATTAGAAACACGCACCCAACACATTACTTAGTTAAATTTAATTAACGAGCCTTTGTGACGTCTTCAACCAACTGAAATCAGTACTCGATCAGCTATATGCCATGATGATTGTCACTACGTGGCAACTATTTTTGCATGGGTTGGAAATTATGAATCGTTTAAGTTCAAAAGATGACTTAGAAAAATGCACGGTACGGTATCTTTAGTTAAAGTCGTTATGCTTGTTGAACAAGACCAGAGCAACATTTCAACATGTCAACGTGTCAACATGTCTTGCGTGCGCTAGAAATCAACAATGAGTCAGACTCCCGTCGGGCCACTGTTTGTTTGTCAGCATTAATGATCTTTATGATACTTTTACACATAACAATCTGAACATAATGCGAGATTAGTCTGAAGGAATACTTTGAGAATTCAGATGAATGCAATAACTCTGTGGAAGAGGCTCTCAGAGCCCCGACCAATGATGATAAAAAAATAATATTCATTTTTGTATATCAGACCAAACATTTTGAGGAACATGACATTTTCTGCTTTCCTTGTTGCTTTCTTTAATACACAGAGTCCTGAACAGGAGGATCCACAAGTTGAAACCGTTTCTATACATGAAGGGGATGCTACTGTTCTGGCCGATACACAGAGTCCCAATACAGAGGATGCCCAAGTTAACATCGATTCTATACCTAAGGGGGACGCTACTGTTCTGGCCGATACACAGAGTCCAAATGAAGACGATGCCCAAGTTAAAATCGATTCTATACCTGAGGGGGACGCTACTGTTCTGGCCGATACACAGAGTCCCAATAGAGAGGATGCCCAAGTTAACATCGATTCTATACCTAAGGGGGATGCTACTGTTCTGGCCGATACAAAGACTCCCAATAGAGAGGATGCCCAAGTTAACATNTGACGATGCCCAAGTTAACATCGATTCTATACCTGAGGGGGATGCTACTGTTCTGGCCGATACACAGAGTCCCAACGAAGAGGATGCGCAAGTTAACATCGATTCTATACCTAAGGGGGACGCTACTGTTCTGGCCGATACACAGAGTCCCAATAGAGAGGATGCCCAAGTTAACATCGATTCTATACCTAAGGGGAACGCCACTGTTCTGGCCGATACACAGAGTCCCAATGAAGAGGCTGCCCAAGTTAACATCGATTCTATACCTGAGGGGGACGCTACTGTTCTGGCGGATACGCAGAATTGTGAAAAAGAAGATACCCAAGTTGACATCGATTCTAAATATGAGAGGGGTGCTACCGTTCTTCTTGAACAGCATATAGAAACTCCATCTCCGGAGCAGGAAAGGTAATTCAAATTAATAGGACTTGAGACGGACTTTTGATACCGATAGATAGAATATTTAGCTCTTCAAGGTGAAGACTGCGATGAGAAATTTACCCTTGTCACTTGCTGCAGAACGAAAAAGAAAGTAAAGCTTTTCTGAAAATTTGAGCTAAAGAACTGTCATCTGTCTAGAAAGTGGGGAGGGAAGAGAAAGGGGATTGTTCAAAGCACAATTTTTAATTAAATTGGACCTGTTCTTGTCCGGTTCAACACCTGCAGCAGGGGAAAGCTGAATGAATTTTAGGCTTTAGTTACTTTTATGAAGTTTAGCTTTGAAGCGTTAACTTAACTGGCGTTTGGATTAACTTCGTGTCCTTTGCTAAAAAAAAAAAATGTTAACGCGCTTTGAAAAAAGTGACTTTCATAACTTGCTCGTGTATATATATGAAAAGGTTATGAATGCACACTATCCGGAAAAGTTTGTCTCGTTTTTGTGTGATTAAATCATAAATCGGCTGAGGCACGAGAAAATTCGAAATGGGTGATGTTGCTTTGAGTAAATTGATTGGGTACCAAGTCCGAAGGTACTGATAAAGCATTTTTACAGTTTCATTCATGAGGGGAATAGGATCCAAAAGCCTGTGAAGATTTTTATTTCTAGATGTTAAATAATGCTTTTTGTTGTTTCATGTATATGAACAGCCTTCGAAATAACACAGTCCATCAGAGCCTGACCTTTGAACTGAATCCCTCAGCCAAGGAATTTGTTCCTGCATTGCAGGTTTGGAAAATGAATCTTAATTCTCATTGTTATTGTAATCATTGTAATTATCATTCCTCCAACTACCAGTGATAAAGAACTGGCCCCCACGTACTCGTACCCTACTAATCATTGTTACCGCACTTACTTTTCGGTGACACTGTCCAAACCTTCCACTTTGGTGGATCCTGTCACAGAAGCTGCAAGTGAAGTGAACCAGTCTGTTGTGGAGACACAGGCACCTTCTTTCGCAGAATTTCTCACTTACGTTAGGAAACTCTGTACACGCTGGTTCTACAGACTTGGACTGTATACTTTCGGTTGAGTTAACTTTATTCTTCACAATCCAACGTTACACGTTCTGTTCTACGACCTATCTCAATCCCATCTTCTTWGAGTTACAAAAATGCTATGTTATAAGCTACGGATATACACACCCAGATACGCAAGTCCGGAGTGGTAAGATAATTTAAGCTAACTTGACAAAGTTCCAGTTTTGTTTTACACATTCTTCAATGATTCGTGGCCACTAACTTCCTGTTACATCGGCTTGCTCGACAATCATAGTGTTAATCTATGCATGCAGTTTTACTAGCGACTATTTGATTAAATACATCTTTGTTTTTGAAGGCTCGATTACACGACGCCGGTCAATACTTCCCTTGACATTCCACAAATCAATGTTGACAACAAGAAATAATAACTTACTTAATCAACTACTAAATATACCGAAACGGGAGAACTTTATTATGAGCACGTGCAAACTTTTCGCGAAACCTTCAGAGAAGTTTACGACAGTCAAAGCAAGTATCACTGCAGTTACAGTGATGTTTACTTGGACTGTTATAATAGGCTGAAATTTCGAAAATTCAAATAACTGATAAAATGTACGTGATTTTAATCAACTTCTAAGGCTCGCGTTCTTATCAGAATTTCAATATTTTTTTTGAGCCGGCCTTTGCTCTTGATAAAATTATTTTCATTAAACCTCTTTGTATATTCGACCAAACGCTGTGAGAAACTTAACATTTTCTGTTTCTCGTCTGGTTTGCTATGATACATAGAGTCCTGAAAAAGAGGATCCCAAGTCGACTTCTATTCTGATCATGGGGGGAGGGGGGGGATCCCCAATTTTCCGGTTTATAGTTGCAACTCTAAAACCAGAAAAATGGGATTCTCAAGTAGACAGCCCTTCTGTAGCATTGTGACTTTCACTTTTGTTTTCTTATGTCACAAAAACGTTCTCTTTAATACACAGATTGCAGAGAAAGAGGATCCCCAAGTTGACTCACAGGTTGAAACTCATTCTATCACTAAGGAGGAAGCTACTGTTCTTCATGAACAGGATATGAAAACACTGGCTGTGGAGCAGGAAAGGTAACCCAAAATCAATGGGACTAGGGTGAAGACCTTAATGAGGAATTTAACTTTGTCACTGGCTTTAGAACAAAGAAACAAAGTTAAGCTTCGCTGAAGCAGTGAGGTTGGCTTGAAGTTAGGCGGGAAGGTGAGGAAGTGGGGTGGAGGAGGGAGTGGGGTTGGTGGGTGTTCAGACTGCAATTTCTCGTAGTGCGGTCTGGTTCAACACCTGTGGGAGAGGAAAGGTATCGGGATTATATGCTTAGCTATTTACAGCAAGTTTTAACTTGGTGTCCTTTGCTAAAGATAATAATAAAAGAAAAAAAACAGTTCGTGAGGTATTATTAAAAGTATGACATCCATAACTTTCTCGTGTATAGATGAATTTGTTACCCGGAAAAGTTTGTTTTGTTTTTGGGTGATAAAATCGTCAATCGGCTGAGGCATGGGATAAAGTGAAATGGATGATTTCGCTTTGAGTGAATTGATTGGGTACCAAATCCGACGACACTGATGAAACGTGTTTACAGTTTCACCCACAAGGGGTGCAGGATCCAAAAGCGTGTGGAGATTTTATTTTATTTTTGTTTCATTGACAGCCCACGAAATACCACAATCAGTCAGATCCTGAACTCGCAACTGAATCCCTTAGCCGAGGAATTTGTTCCCGTATCGCAGGTTTGGAAAGTGTATTTAAAATTTCATTGTTATTCTTATCGGTTATAGTTGTCATTACCATCATCACCATTATCATTCTTTGTTTGTAGAAGACGACTTTTGTGCAAGAGGGTGCACCAGTAAATAAGAGTGGTAGGGAACCTCGTGCTCGGGCTCGCCGACGAAGAAAGTCAAGTGGTCCTCCGCAAATGCTGGGGGTCGAGTCGCCTGATTGGCTGCCATTCGCACTTAGCCGCAAATGTCTCACTGTTCCGCCTAACTATCGTTCGGGCAGGAACTCAAGACATTCCTAAATATCACAACACATAAAAATAAAAATGAAAAAGAAAAAAAGAATAAAACGAAAAACTGAAAAAAAAAATCAGAAAAACTTACTTTTTTCGATAGTTTTTGAAGGCTGAATAACGAAAGAAAATAAATTGTAGTGATATTTGTGATATTTATGGCTGAGTCTTTGATTCCATGGAAGTTTTGGATCTTTTGCATCAGGTAACTACTGAAATTTATATAGCTGTGCGTTTGTTCAGAAATGGAGCACATATAACATCGAGGAAGTCAAAATGTGGTACGAACATAGTAGTGGCATACGAGGCGCAAGCACTTTTTGACATCATCTCTTGTAAGATAGAAAAGTGTAAAAGAGGCAACGAATACAAAAAAAAAAAAAATTCGTAAATTATCCACATAAAAGATTGCAAATTACCACTTACAAATTCTTGGCCAAATTTATCGAGATGCGCTAAAATCCTGCCGTCGCAACACGTGTTGTGAAACCTTTTGATACTGGTACAAACATTTCGGGTATTTTCATTTCCTTTTATATTTCTTAAGCCTCAGAAGTTCAGCGAAGCATGAATATTAATGTTTAGCGGTGGTACTTGTGCTATTATTAATATAGGATCAATATTGCAACCATGATTCAAATTTTTGAATTTTTAATTCATCTTCTTACAGGTCGCAAGGCAGTCTGGGTGCATTCGTTGAGAAAAAAATGGCGTCCTCGAGCAATCAAGAGGAAGGTAAGGCGGCTGGATACTAAAAATTTTGCTCGGTTTTCGAAAAGGAAGGTAATTTTTTAAGCCTGAAATACCTCAATAACGGCTTTTTACCCGGTGAAAAAAAATCCAAAAGCTCTTACAACTGAAAAACCTCTGGTTTATCGTGCCCGCCAAAGTTCGCTTGATTCAGTTACAAGAAGAAACGAAGCATTTCATTTTAAACTTTTGTGCAAATCGGGTGCATACACCATTCCAGCAATTGTAAAATACTTTAAACTGATCCTTGGGATAAATGACTCCATCATCGAACCAAAAGTTGGCCTAAACTGCGTTTGTTCGAGCCCACACTTCAACCATGCGGTCGAAACGGAGTTGTTTGTCGTTTAGGGAGGGTCAGCGGGATTTTGTGGAAGATACTACGATTTCCGCTGACCTTCCATAGAAAATTCTTAGTTTTGATCGATTTCTTTGGAATTATTTTTCTCTGGTGTAGGTCAGAAAGATGTGATGCTTTCGAGCGGGCCAATTTCAAATTTGGTCCCATGGTTTCCTTCAAAGCTAATTCAAACAACAGCATATCGTTCGACGCCATATTTTACGTTTGTTTCGCTTGCTTTTAACATTCGTCCGCTATTTTTTTAGCACAAGATACCTCCGAAAAGTATCTCAAAAGATTAACGCTTCAGTTTGTGTATTTTGATGTAAATCTGTTTGTGGGTCAAAGTAAGTCTTGCTTGAAACTTTTCACGAGGGATAACGGCAGGTTTCGCAAGAACGGCCACACACGACATCAACATGCGGTTTTAGTTTCTCCATTCAGTGTAAATTCACGGAGTGGTCTGACATTTGCGATGCCAATAATTTTCAAGCGACCAAGTGAATCGTATTTTTCGCCAAATGAAACAGGGTATGGGATATTTTTTCCCTAATATTCGAGCATTGTTGTCAAATATAAGCCTTGTTGAATTGGTCGAAAAGGACAAGAGTTCTCTGTTAAAAGTTTCTCTTCGCTTAGCAAATGAAGCAAAGGATCTTGCGCGAAGCTAGGTAGTTTGCATCAGCGTTCGGGAATTTTTCGACCGTTTGCCTTGGCATTTGAATAGTTAAATAACTGAGAAAACAAAAGAAAAGTAGAAAGTTTCCAAAATGTATAGGTTTTTCTATGATTTTCCTCACAGTGAATAATTTATTACGGAGTGTGCAATATCCTCATATTCTGAGGTCTGCAAAATGCTCATGTGTCAAAAACATTGTAATGAACGTAGTGACTCGAAATTGTGGCATTTTGATCGATAGAATTAGAAATATCTTAGTGAATTCCTAATTGTGGAATCCCTGAATGTTATACTTTACTGGCTAAAATAATCAAGACTCGCTTTACCTGCATCATATCAGAAATAATAGTAGGGTTTTTGGAAGTTCTAAAGGATTATTTTAATGATAAGGAAATGTTCAGATGAGTTTGACGTTTTCTAAGCCCAATCTTGAACTGATGCTTGCTTTAGTTGGCACAGCCCTGACTAGCAATCTTGAAAATTTTTTGGCTATCAGTTCCTAATTGTACAGCCCTGTGCTGTGTGTTTTCTCTTTTAGAAATCACCCGGGCAGTCTCTATAAAGAATACATTTTTTTTTTTAAACTAAATGCTCTTGGCTGCAAATTATCACATTATTTTATTGTCTGTTTGATATTGGCAGTATTAACAGATGGAAATGCAGTTAATAATACCCAGTCTCAAGACCAGTCTTTTCTGTCTGCTGCTAAAACTACTCCTGCCATTGATCAGCAGGAAGAACCCCAAGAACAACATGCTTCTGACACAGGTGGCTCAGTGAATGCAGGAGACCATCAGGTATGTTAAGATCTCATTAGCAATTCTCCAGTTTACTGTCTGCTATACAATTCTTATTATGAGGTTAGTTCCAAGGGAGATTTTGGTATTGGTTCAGCTTATAATGCAGTAATTGATATTTTTCTTTATTCTCATCACTTGTTTGCGTGATATAGTATTGATATTGTAAGGAGAGATTCTGTTTTGGTCATTCGTGGGAGTAAAAGAGTTAATTTCAGATAGGACTCCCTGCCAACCTCTTTCCATTTGGCGATGAAGATGACAGGAAAAACGAAAAATATCAATACAGAACAAAGGTTTCTTAATTTTTTATAGATTTTTAATTCTCCAGCCTTACATTTTCAGAAATATTTAACATACATTGCAGTTGATGTTTAGATTGGATGTGTTAAAGGGTTAAGATTTCATTACTTTTGAATTGTTGTCAGTCAGATTTGTGACAGTGGAAACAATGTTTCACAACTGCTAAATTATTTATGATTTTAACTTGATTCTAAAGTTAGTGTCATTTATCTTTTAAACTCAGGGCGAAAGCCAAGTTGTTTCCAATGCAGACGTGGCTTCCCAAGAAGTTACAACATCTGCTAATGACAGTGAAACACAGCAGGCGCAAACCCTGTATGTTGCAATTCAGCCTGGAGCTAACATGGAGTCAGGGCAGGGAGACCAACCTGCTGTATACCTGGAAGTAGTTGAGGCAGGGAGTGGTACAGAAGTTACCTCCAGTGAAGGGCAGGTTAATCTAGTTCAAGAAGAGATGGTCATTGACAATGGTAATTTCAGCTTTCTTTTTAATATTAGTCAAATTTATTTTAATTTTTCCAGACTAAGTTATATATGGCATATATCGCTTGTGTTCATAGGTAAGGCAAGGGTTTCATTAACATTTTTAGCAGAAGGGTAACTGGTTTTCACTGTTGGGCAAAACTTTTTGAACTGAACTTCTTTATAAGGTAATCTTTCCTCCAGATCGTCAAACCAGGTGGGCAAAACTGTCCTCACAACTGGTGCCCGGCCTTTAATGAAACCCCCGGTAAGGAGTCTGAGAAATTTTTTCCTGAAGGTTTTTTTCTCTTTTACCTTTTAATTCTTTGTCCCTTAAGAGTGACTGGCATCAAATTTCTACTTAAACTATCACCCCTGAATCAAGAATTGAGGTCACAAGAATTATGGAAATAGCCACCAACTATAGAACCTCTTGATTGATTGTTGAATTCTCCCCGTCAGGAACTTAGAAAATGTATAGAGAACAGTATGGAGAATATGCATACTGATCTAAGGGTGTTAGGGGTTAATCCCTTTATAATCCTCTCCTTGCAATATCATTCTGGCCTCAGGAATCAAACATTAAGGTCACAAGAATAAAACATGTGTTCACCCAGCAGACTAAAGAAGCTCTTGATTTTTAAACAAATTCTCCTTGTCAGCACTGTAGAAAATGTATAGAGAACAGTATGGAGAATATGCATACTGATGTTAGGGGGGCTTAAAATGCAAAGAAAGGCCTTTTCGCTTGTTGGTGTCAAAATCGAACGAGGTACCTGATGAATATCAAAATTTCTCAAAGAAGTACTTTAAAAATAAACAAAAAGAGCTCTTCTCAATATTGTAGAGACTGAAGATTCCTATATGGAGTCTTATGAGATAATGCTAAAATTCAAACACAGCAAAGTTGAACCAAATTGAAATCTTGGACTTTTTCTCCTTTACAATGAACTTCTTTAATTTTATCTTCTTTTTTTCTTTTGTATCTTTTTGTCTTTTCATGTTGTATTTCTTAATTTCTGTTTTATTTCTAGTGTAATTAAAAAAGTTGGTTAAGAAAAATTTTACCGCATCCCAATTTTTGAGGTAAAGGAATATCTTTACTGGGGTAAAGGAATATCTTGTAAATATGAAGTAAAAATAAAATAAAAGTGTGAGAAGTGTGAAGTTTAAGATTGAAAATGGTTTAAATTTTGAATGCAACATGATGTAACATAAAGGTGTTATGGGTTAAGTGTTATCCTTCACAGGTCCAAATATGATTTCCTTGTTTATATTTCTTGAATAAATCTTTTTCCTTACAGCATCATCCACTGAAGTTACCACAATTCCCACATCAGTCCTGTCCCAGGTGATGGACCAAGCCACATTATCCACCATGCAGGCTGAAATGATCGCAGTTCAGGTCCTTTCCCAATCAGCGACAGGCGATATCCAGTATCTGCAACATCAGTCTCCAGCACGGTTTATTCCGATTGTGACATCAACAGATACAAGTACTTTGAACTCATTACAAGCCACACTCAGTCAGATGCCACTTGCTACCTTGCAGGTAAGCACTTGGAAAAAAGTTACATTTCTGTGCTGGGACTAGAAGAATATTATTTAATTGCCTATTGATCTTTTTTTTGCAGTTGTTTTGGGATTCCTGTTATTTTAGACAATCTAAAGTTTACCC